TGGCACGATACATTGAGGACGACACTTGCGGCTCTTGGGTTTGCTCCTTCGACTGCTGACCCGTCGCTGTTTCTACGCACCGACACTTCACTGCCGCCGTTCTACATCCTCGTTCACGTTGACGACTTGGTTTTTGCTACTGCTGACACTGAGGCACTGGCCCTAGTGAAGGCGGAGCTGCAGGAGAGACACACCTGCACTGACCTGGGTGAGCTGCGGAGCTATCTTGGCTTGCAGATCACCCGGGACAGAGCACGGCGCACCATCACCCTGACTCAGTCACACATGGTGCACCAGGTCCTTCAGCGCTTCCGCTTCACGTGGTCCTCGCCACAGCCCACTCCTCTGGCTACCGGCCACTCGCTCTCAGCTCCACCTTCGGACGAGTCCGTAGAGCCGAGTGGTCCGTACCCAGAGCTTGTGGGCTGCCTCATGTACCTGATGACGTGCACACGACCTGACCTCGCGTACCCTCTCAGCCTTCTGGCTTGCTACGTGGCACCCGGTAGACACCGAAAGGTGCACTTTGATGCTGCAAAGAGGGTACTGCGTTACTTGTGCAGCACATCGGGCATGGGGTGTCAGAATGTTATATTATCTAGCCTGCAGTGGGGTGCTCTATAGCGAGTACAACCCAGTTAGGGTTTACTATTTGTATCCCAACTGCTGCTAGTGAAACCCCTCCTTTCTTCATTCTTTTTTCTGCCTGCTAGTTCTGACATGGTTTCAGAGCAGGGCGATCCCCTTGGGTCGATCCTGTGGGTGGGCCCGCCACCTAACTGCTTCCGCTGCTGTTCTGCTGATCGCGCGCCTCGGGCGCGCGCCGTCTTCTTCCTGCCGCGCGCTCGGGGCGCGCGGCGAGTTTCTGCCTGCCGTGCGCCCCGAGGCGCGCGGCGGTTTTCTGCCGTGGGGGACCCGCGCGCACCACCCCGCCCTTCCCGTCGCGTCGCCCTGCAGGCCGCGCGCGGGTCTGCAGGGCGCGTGCGGCCCGTCTGCCCGTCGCGCGGCCTTGGGGAGCAGCGCGCGGCCCCCGCCCTTCCCGTCGCGTCGCCCTGCAGGCCGCGCGCGGGTCTGCAGGGCACGTGCGGCCCGTCTGCCCGTCGCGCGCGCCCCCCGCCCGTCCGTCGCGGCGCCCCGGGGAGCCGCGCGCGCTCCCCTGCCCGTCCGTCTTGGCGCCCTGGGGAGGAGCGCGCGGCCCCTCCTGTCCCGTCCCCCCCCCCCCCCCCCCCCCGTGCTGCCCATTCCTCCCGTGCCGCCGTGCGTTCCGCGGTGGTGGGGGGTGTGGGGTGGCAAGCATGGGGGTGCGCGGTGTGGGTGTTCCCCTCCTCCTTGTTCGTCTCCCACTGCTGCAGCTCCTGCTAAGGGGGGTGGAGGTGTGGGAGCCGCGGGGAGTGGAGCTTTGGGGGTGACGTGGAAGTGAAGCTAGGGTTTCTGCAGGGGGTGTGTGTCAGGGGGGTGGGACTGTTTGGGGAGGCTGAGAGGAGGCTGCCGTCGTGTCGTCCGCAGCGCCTGTATTCCGGGGCCCTTGCTCCCGGTAGCTCAGAGAGCCTACTGCACCTGTCGCCCGTGGGTCCGTTGCTCCTGCCGCTCGTCGCAGCCGCAGAGCCTGTTACTCCTGTATTTCAGGGCCCTTGCTCCTGATAGCCACTGAGTCGCAGAGCGCGCTTCTGTTGCCCGTGTGACTGCAGCTTCAGCCGTCGCCTCCAGTCTACTCTCCTCTCACAGTCACTCCTCCTCCTCACTTGCCCTCTGTGATAGCCTCTAGCTTTGTTTGTAATTGTGAACTACTGCTATGCCTGCTCATTGTGCTGATTACACCCCACTTTGGCTATGGGGGTGTGTCAGAATGTTATATTATCTAGCCTGTAGTGGGGTGCTCTATAGCGAGTACAACCCAGTTAGGGTTTACTATTTGTATCCCAACTGCTGCTAGTGAAACCCCTCCTTTCATCATTCTTGTTTCTGCCTGCTAGTTCTGACATGGGGCTCGTGCTTGGAGGACGGGGTTCGGTGGTCCTAACAGGACACTCTGACGCTTCTTGGGCCGACGACCAGGCGACTCAGCGTTCGTCACAGGGTTACACCTTCAGTCTTGGCTCTGGTTCTGTCTCGTGGAGGTCCACTCGTTCTTCTTCTGTGCTTGTTTCTAGCTGTGAGGCCGAGATCTACGCTGGGGCCATGGCTGCACAGGAGCTCCGCTGGCTGACCTACCTGCTGACCGACTTGGGGGAGCGGCCTCGTTCTCCTCCAGTTCTGTACGTCGACAACAAGGCAATGCTTGCCTTGTGTCGCGAGCAGAGACTGGAGCACATTGCTCTGCGCTACTTCCTTGCGTGTGAGCTGCAGCAGCGTGGTCAGCTGCGCCTTGCTTTCGTGGCCTCTCGGGCCAACACTTGGGGCTGGTGATCATCAGCGTTTCTGCACTGCTCTTGGGCTTGTGCCCACTCTGCCTCACGTGCTGGTTGCTTGACTTGCTCTTGTTGTACACTGCTATATATCTTTATACCTGCATGTTTACTCTTGCTAGGTTGTGATCTGTGTACTGCCTTGCTATTATAAATCTGCATGTGAACTGGCCTTGTGGCCGCCTGCTTGTGCTCAGATTGTGTGGTGTCCTTGAGATCCACCCTGGGCTTTGCCTTGCTTGTTCTCTTGCTTGACTGGTCTTGTGACCACTGTTAGGTTTGGCTATCCCCTACTTCACCTATGGGGGTGTGTCAAAACATATTGTTATGTTCATTTCACTCTAGGTTGTGTAGGGGTCACACCTTAGAGGGTACAACCCAACTCTCTCGATAGTATTGTACCCCCTCCCTCTTACCTAACACACATTCCTTCCTAGTATTCTAACACAAAGTGCAATTCGAGCCTCTTCCGACGAAAAGCATTGAAGCGATGCGCTTCAATATTTCCACTTTCCACCAAGGAGAGATAACGGGTAGGTAAGTAAAAGGCGATGTTGGTTGATAATCCGTCTGGAAGGCGAAACAAGAACGCGCAGAAGAGTGTTCGTGGCAATTCTCATACAAGTATGAATAAATTTGGAATGACATACCCCGCATGCTTTGACGCAGGCCGAAACGACGCCGGACGCGTTCTTACACGGCGTGACACGGTCATTGTTGATAGTTTCAGTTGAAGCTTCTACGCCGCAGCACGCAAAGAATATGAGAAAAGTAGCAACTACTAGTACTAGGCTCCTCATTGTGGTTGGAGTAAACGACATGACTTCAAGCGGTGCCGCTGACGTTATCAATCAATCTGTCTGATTGGTGTACCAAGTATTCGCGTAGCCTGACATATGTATTAATAGAACGTTGAAAACACGAAAAGGCAAAGACCACTTCTGGAATACTCCGGTGTTGATGCTGATATACAGCAAGTCCAGCCTAGGTAACCTCGCCCTTCTGGGTCTCCGCGTCGCGACGCAGCGGAGCCGCCGGCAGGAACTACGAAGTCGGCGCTCACCTCATCGTTACAATTATTGAAGAATCTTCTTCCTCATCCTCATCCTTATCCCATCGAGCCTCGGACCCGTGAAACCCGTGAACGAGTCAGTTTGCGTAGTGTGGCCCGTGTATGAGTTGTGTGTCCGTGGTCGCGTGTGGTGCCAGGGACGCGCTATCGGAGTAGAGAACACAAGTGGTGCAAATAAGGGCGCGTGACTTTTGCTGTAGACGTTCGGATTTAGGGTTGAACTTTTGCTGGTTACCCTTTTCGCAAAATTCGCCAATGTGTTCGCCATGTCGCCGTGTGTCCAAGTGTTATAACGCCGGGAATGGAAACCCGAATCAGGGGTTGAACTTTCTTGACCAAACAAGTTGGCACGTAAACTCGAACGTGTGTACAACATTCCAACAACGAGGAAGAGGCGAAAGCTGCGACGCTCGCAGCCAGCATCGTGCGCACTAGCGACGACGTCAGATAGGGAGGCGGTTTCGGCAACGCACACGTGGCCATGAACGTGGCACGAAAACAACGTATCCGACTCGGCCTGTCCAAGTCACCTACCCCGACCCGACAATTTGGCGCGAATGTTCTTGACATCTTGAGAAAAATTCACCAGCTGGGCCACGCTAGCGCAATGTTGCTCGACTTCAAAAAGATGCTCGTCAACCACTCTTCCATGAGTTCATACTGCACACTCAGACAATACATTAATTAGTAGCCATGAATTCCGACACTGCTGCTGGCGACGGAAACCCAGGCACGTCTAGCAGTCCCATCGCCCTGCCTGCTTCCTCTCAAAATCCGGGGCCGCCTCAGCGACGCGCGCGCTAACAACACCGCCAACAACTCGGGCCGGCGCCTTGAAGTGATCGACCTTGACACGATCATTTCACAGGTGCCAGATCCCTCCCAGCCGCTGAACGCGGAGGACGACACCCTCGCTTACTTCGACGCTGGCGAAGTAGAGACCGACATCGACGATACCGCGGAAGAAGAGGACGAGCAGGCGATGCCCGGGGAGAAACGCAGCGGGTGGACAGATGCAGAAGTGATGCAGCTGGCCTGGACGCGGCACGACAAGGACGAGGACGTCCGCAGCCAGACCCGCCTCCAGTGCCAGAACCGTGACGTGACGGTTTGGCTCGAACTGAAGCGGCGACACCCTGACTACCGCCATAAATTTGCCGCCGTAAAAGCAAAACTTTTTCGTATGGAAGCCCACTACCGTAAGGTGCGGGACCTCCTCCTCAAGCCATCGGGCAAGGGGCGCCCGCCCAAGATCCCATTTATTACGACATTTACGATCGCAACTTTGGCGATCGTGCGAATGCCGTACCTCCCGCTCTTGCAGGCAGTCTTCCCGGCGCCAATGTCGTCCGCAATCCGCCAGCAACTCCCGGCATCACAGGTATGACATTACTTGGCATCTCTTCAGAAATCAGAGCAACATATTAATTTTAAAAATTCTTTCCTTTTACATTGAAACACTACATGTTGCTCTACCCCCCGCGACACACCTCATCACCCTCTTCGATGGTCTGCCTTCGCAGAGCCTGGTCTGGGGACCGAGGGCTTCGGGGCTGGCTCTCCGCCCGCGGCCTCTGCGGCGCCAACCTCGCCACCTCCCGTGCCTGTTGCGATGTCTCCGCCGTCGTCTCTGCCCACCACCCCTTCGCGCCACACTTCGCCTAACGCGGCGGGAGCCTCTCCGCCTCTCTCACGCGGTGTCGGGGCAAGGGCGGGTCTGTCGCTGCGCGGGAACCGCGTCGTCCGCTGGCCGAGGGCGGCGGCTGCGGAGAACGGTGGAACAGGGGCGGCGGGGGGTATGCCCTCAATGGGTGGTGGTATGACAAGCAGTGACAATACACTTTGTGATGAGATTGCCACCCGTGTTGCTGGGACTATGCGTGATATGATGCGTGAGGGTTTTCAGGAGTTCATGACTCTTACCCGAGAGCTGGTACAAGCTGATCCGGATGTCCAAGGCGCCAAGAGGCGTAAAGATACGCCGCCAGACGAGAACGGCGGCGGGTCAGCGTGAAGCCCTCCGCGCTTGGCGGGAAGTGCGGCGCCGTTGCCGCCGGTCCCTGCTGCCACCAACGGTTGCGTTCGCGGGACTCCTCCATTCGGGGGCGGGCGCCGAGGACCAAATCGATGTTGTGCAGCGTGACGCAAGCGGCGACGTAGCGTGGCGCCCGGAATATGTCACACTCGATACGTCCGTCGAGCAGGCGCCATTTCGTTTTAAGACGACCGTTGACTTGCTCGACCACCATGCGCGAGCGTGACTGCTGAAGGTTCCAGACGCGTTGCTCGTCCGGCAGGTGACGGCCTGGAGTAGCACGGTAGGGGGTGTAGATGTAGGTGCGCAGGCCGTACGCCGCGTCACCAACTAGTGCATAGTCGTTTAGACCGCCTTCTTCAATCCTTGTTCTTGCGGGGCTGTTCTGAAACACCCGTGCGTCATTGACGCTTCCCGGGTAGCCGACGAAGAAGTCCCAAATGAGTCCATTGCAGTCGCATATTAGTTGCAAAATGATAGAATAAAATCCTTTTCGATTACGAAAATCCTCGCGATGTGGACCAAACCCACGGCACCGAATGTAGGTGCCATCAATTGCACCCACCACACCAGGGATGCCTGCAAAAGCTCTGAAGTCGGCTTCAACAATGTGAACATCTCGCTGTCGGGCCACCAAACCCACTTGGGTGTCAGTACATGCTCCATAAAATTAAGGAAACGACCGAACAACCTTTGGGTGTAAGAATAACTGTACCCAAACTTACGGCCAATTTCACGAAAGGGCAATCCATGCCCCAGTTTGTCAAAGCATATGCATGTTCTATATGTGTAGGCTGTAGTGGGGTAGCCAATATGGGGTACAGCCCCTTTTAGGGTTTCATACTTGTACCCAAATCTTCCATAGTTCATCCATTCCTGCTGCTAGATTCTAACATGGTTTCAGAGCACTAGGTCCGTAGGACCGTTATTTTTTTCGGGCCCACCTACCGTTGCGGTTACCGCGCTACCCCACGTGTTGTCCTGCGCCTGTCTGCCTGCCTGCCTGCCCTGCCTTGTGACGTGCTGCGCTGCGCGCGCCGTCCTGCAGCCCTTGCGCTGCCTCGTGCTGCCCTAGGCCAGCGCGCCGCCCCTGCAGGCCCGTACGGCCCGCGCGCCGCCCCTGAAGGCCCGTCAGGCCCACGAGCCGCCCCTGCAGGCCCGTCAGGCCAGAACGCGGCCCCGCCCTGCCTCTGACGCGGCCGCGCCCAGCCTCTGACGCGGCCGCGCCCTGCCTTCGACGCGGCCGCGCCCTGCCTCTGACGCGGCCGCGCCCTGCCTTAGACGCGGCCGCGCCCTGCCTTCGACGCGGCCGCGCCTTGCCTTCGACGCGGCCGCGCCCTGCCTTCGACGCGGCCGCGCCCTGCCTTAGACGCGGCCGCGCCCTGCCTTCGTCGCGGCCGCGCCCTGCCTTCGACGCGGCCGCGCCCTGCCTTCGACGCGGCCGCGCCCTGCCTTCGACGCGGCCGCGCCCTGCCTTAGACGCGGCCGCGCCCTGCCTTCGTCGCGGCCGCGCCCTGCCTTCGACGCGGCCGCGCCCTGCCTCTGACGCGACCGCGCCCTACCTCTGACGCGGCCGCGCCCTGCATCACGCGGCCCCGCCCTACCTCTGACGCGGCCGCGCCCAGCCACTGACGCGGCCGCGCCCTGCAGCCAGCGCGGCCCCGCCCTGCCTCTGACGCGGCCGCGCCCTGCCTCTGACGCGGCCGCGCCCTGCAGCCGACGCGGCCCCACCCTGCCGCCGACGCTGCCCCGCCCGGACGCCGACGCGGCCCCGCCAGCCCTGCAGCTGACGCGGCCCTGACCTGCTGCTGACGCGGCCCCACCCTGCAGCTGCCGCGGCCCTACTCTGCAGCTGCTGCTGCGGCCCCGCCGTCGCCGCCGTCGTGCGCCTACCCTGCCGCCGCCCGCCGAGCGCCGGCCCTTCCCACCACTGGTGAGCACCTGCCTGCCTGCCCGCCTGCCTGCCTGCCTGCCTGCCTGCCTGCTGCGCCTGCCCTGCCCGCTGCTACTGCTGCTACTGCTGCTACTGCTGTTACTGCTGCTACTGCGGCTACTACTGCTACTGCTGCTACTGGCGGTGGCCAGATGCAGCTCCAGCGACGTCCGCGCGAGTCTCTCACGCCTCAGCAGCTTCGTGAGTGGTACGCTAGTTGGGGTTGTGGCGGTAGCCGTCGTGGCTGTCGCCCTGGAGCTGGTCGGTCGGGAGCGTCTGGCAGTGGCCAACTGCAGCTGCAGCGGCGTCCGCGCGAGACACTTACGTCCCGGCAGCTTCACGAGTGGTATGCTCAGAGTCGAGGGTCTCGGAGTACCGTTCGCTGCCCGTACGTCATTCGCACAGGTGATCGGACTGGTCAGGCTTGCGGGACGCTTGGTCACACACAGTCCCGCTGCTTCGCCCGTCTGAGCGACGCCTGGCGTACCGAGTTTGGCGACGAGGCTGAGCTCCCCACCTGGCTAGAGCTGCTTGGACAGAGAGTAGATATCTTTGCTCTTGACTATGATGCTATTCTCACTGCCATGTATGCATTTCCTACTAGTGCTGACCGTGCCTGTTCCCTGGGCGTACCACATGACCCAGGTATAGAGCCTGCTGCTCTAGGTGCTGGTGAGGCTGCTGCTCTAGGTGCTAGTGCGTCTCCTGCTCTAGGTACTGGTGAGGCTGCTGCTCCAGGTGCTGGTGAGTCTGCTCTCTCTGGTACTGCGCCTGCTGAGGCCGTGTACACCTTCACACTTGACTCAGGTGCTTCCCGCTCCTTCTTTCGCGACAGCACCACACTCACGCCGCTCCGTCGGCCGGTTGCAGTCTCCCTGGCAGACCCCTCTGGGGGTCCAGTCCTTGCGCACTCCTCCACGGTCCTGCCGTGTCCGGCGGTCCCGTCTGGCTCCCTGTCAGGTCTTCACCTCCCCTCGTTCTCTACGAACTTGGTGAGTGGAGCTGACCTACATGATGTGTGGGTTGACCAGTTCACCCCTGGAGGTCAGCGTGTGACACACTGTACGTGCTCCCGGACTGGTCGGCACCTGGCCACGTTCACCTGAGAGCCTGGCTCGAGTCTGTACACACTGACCACTGTGTCCCCTCAGGTAGCTGCGTCTGCGTCTGCGTTTGCGTCAGGTCAGCTAGCGGCCCCCTGCTCGTGTCGCGCTCTGTCGCACCAGACCCTCCTTTGGCACCACCGCCTTGGTCACCCCTCGGTGCAGCGCCTTCGTAGCATGCACCGCCGTTTCCTTGTCTCTGGACTTCCAGAGACTATGCCTCCTCTACCACCCTCGCCTGCTCCTCCCTGTCTTCCCTGTGTCGAGGGGCGGCAGCGCGCCGCTCCTCACTCCTCCTCGTTCCCTCCCACAGAGGCTCCCTTGCAGACTCTCCACCTGGACGTGTGGGGCCCAGCCCGCGTCCGTGGACAGGGCCACGAGCGGTACTTCCTGCTGGTCGTCGACGACTACACGCGTTACACCACGGTCTTCCCCTTGCAGCGCAAGGGGGATGTCCCTGATGTTTTGATCCCCTGGATCCGCGCTGTTTGTCTCCAGCTCCGCGAGCGGTTCCAGTCGGACTTTCCTGTCCTGCGTCTGCACTCTGACAGAGGTGGTGAGTTCTCCTCAGACCTCTTGGCAGCCTACTGTGCGGAGCACGGCATCCGCCAGACGTTCACGCTTCCGGCCTCTCCGCAGCAGAATGGGTTTGCTGAGCGCCGCATTGGCTTAGTCATGGAGGTCGCTCGTACCTCCATGATCCATGCGGCTGCCCCCCATTTTCTGTGGCCGTTTGCGGTCCGGTACGCCGCGCATCAGCTCAACCTCTGGCCCCGTGTCTCCTTGCCGAAGACCTCGCCCACACAGCTGTGGACGGGGAAGGTTGGCGATGCGTCGCGTTTCCGGGTCTGGGGTGCTCGTGCCTTTGTCCGCGATACCACCGCGGACAAGCTCTCCGCCCGCGCTGTTCCCTGTGTCTTCCTTGGCTTTGTCCCTGACGCGCCTGGTTGGCAGTTTTACCACCCCACCTCGCGTCGTGTCTTCCCCTCTCAGGACGTCACGTTCGACGAGTCGGTTCCCTTTTACCGTCTCTTCCCCTACCGCACTGCCCCTCTCCCCCCCCCCGCCGCTCTTCCTCGCTCCAGGTGCTCCCCAGGTAGACCCCCTCCCCGCTCCCGGTCCTTCTCCTTCAGGTGTGTCTCAGGTAGACCCTCCTCCCTTGACTGAGCCGGTTGAGGTCACTGGTGACTCGGGTCCTGCTGAGGGTGGTCCTGCTCGGGGTGCTGCTTCTGGGGGTGCTGAGCCTGGGGGTGCGGAGCCTGGGGGTGCTGAGCCTGGGGGTGCTGAGCCTGGGGGTGCGGAGCCTGAAGGTGAGGAGCCTGGGGGTGCGGAGACTGGAGGTGCTGAGCCTGGGTGTGAGCAGTCTGGGGGTGCTGAGCCTGGGGGCGCTGAGGCGTCTGGTGAGCAGTCTCCCTGGAGCGGCCGTCTCCGTAGTCGCTCCGCTGGTGCCTCGCCGCTGCACTCTCGTCGTCGACTCCCTCTCTCCCCACAGCAGCTGCTTGAGTGGTACGCTGGCCGTCAGGGTCGCGCTGCTGGAGCTAGGGGCCCTGCTGCGGGAGGCGCTGGAGCTGGTGACTCTGCCACTGGAGTTGTTTCTGCTGGAGGTTCTGGAGCTGCTGGAGGTGCTGGCGCTGGTGGCGCTGGAGCTGGAGGTTCTGGAGCTGCTGAGGGTGCTGGCGCTGGAGGTTCTGGAGCTGCTGGAGGTACTGGCGCTGGTGGCGCTGGAGCTGGAGGTTCTGGAGCTGCTGAGGGTGCTGGCGCTGGAGGTTCTGGAGCTGCTGCGGGTACTGGCGCTGAGGGTTCTGAGTCTGCTATTGCGCGGTTTCCTTGGAGTAGCCGCCTTCGTCCGCGTGTGCCTCTCACCTCGCAGCAGCTGCACGACTGGTACGGTCGCCGTCAGGGTCGCGCTTCTCGAGCTCGGGGATCTGCCGCTGGAGGTACTT